AGGGGCCCAAAACTGGACACAATATTCCAGGTGCGGCCTCACCAGTGCCGAGTACAGGGGCAGGATCACTTCCCTGCTCCTGCTGGTCACACTATTCTTGATACACGCCAGTATCCCATTGGCCTTTTTGGCCACCTGGGCACACTGCTGGCTCATATCAAGCCGGTAGTCAACCAACACCCCCAGGTCCTTCTCCGCCAGGCAGCTCTCCAGCCACTCTTCCCCGAGCCTATAGCGATGCTTGGGGTTTTTATACCCCAAGTGAAGGACTCTGCACTTGGCCTTATTAAAGCTCACGCCATTGGCCTCAGCCCAACGATCCAGTCTGTTCAAATCCCTCTGAAGGGCCTCCCTACCCTCAAGCAGATCGACACAGCCTCCCAGCTTGGTGTCGTCCGCAAATTTACTGAGGGTACATTCAATCCCCTCATCCAGGTCATTGATAAAGATGTTAAACAGAACTGGACCCAGCACTGAGCCCTGGGGAACCCCACTGGTGACCGGCCTCCAGCCGGATTTAGCCCCATTTACCACCACTCTTTGGGCCCGATGAGTAAATGTAGCTTGTTGTTCCACAAGAAAAATCTTTAGGATGAAGCAAAATGTAGATGTTTGATTCCTGTTAACAGTAAGACAGAAATATGGAGCTGGAAATCGTTTACTATGCCAAACCCCTGAAAGTTCAGTTTTCAAATGTGAAGGGCTGATGGCGATGGAGATGTAGGATAGCTACACTTACACATCTCTAGGTGCACTAGTGTTTTAATTCCCACAGAGAGGATGCAAATCTAGTCAATACCATTGGCAGAGCCTAGATAGCAACTCAACTGACCAGTCGCTAGGTGTTTACTTTAGCGTAAAAGCTCAATTGTTCTCTTACCTCCACCAGCTCTATTGACTACATCCCCACTGACTACAGAGGAATCTCTATGCACCTATAAACACCTACAGGCAATCACCTGAAGTGAGACGTCAACAGATTTATATCCTGAACAGACTTCCAATCCTGTCTTTGATTAGGCTTAGGGTACTTTAATTTGGAGTGGTTACCCACCTTCTGCATCAGGCCACATGGTTGAGACTACCAATTTTTACTGGCAAAAATCTAAGCCAACTATTAGGAAAAAGTTGCGTGAAAGAATCATAGAATAGCTAGGGTTGGAAGAGATCTCAAAGATCATCTAGTTCCAACCCCCCTGCCATGGGCAGGGACACCTTCCACTACACCAGGTTGCTCAAAGCCTCATCCAACCTGGACTTGAACACTTCCAGGGATGGGGCATCCACAATTTCTCTGGGTAACCTGTTCCAGTGCCTCACCACCCTCAATGTAAAAAGCTTCTTCCTTATACCTAATCGAAATCCACCCTCTTTCAGTTTAAAGTCATGGCCCCTTGTCTTATCACTATATACCCTTGTAAAAAGTCCCTCTCCAGCATTCTTGTAGGCCCTTGTAGAACCTATGATCCCTTAACTGCATTACTGTGTGTTGGCAGAACTCAATAATTATCACTTGTTTCTCAGGAAACATACAACTTTCAGTTAAGTTTGCTTTATTTGTGAAAGCTGAGCTCAAATATAAAATGTCACCTTGCAGGTTGAAACTACATTTATTCCAGTGGTACACTGCCAGAACAGTATGGTATACTGCTAATTCTAGCATAGAGACAGTCTTAGTACTACTACCTGTTCTCCTCCCTTTTCAGGGCTCCAAGGCTGAAAGCACCTGTTCCTCACTGAGGCACAAGATTAATGCAAAATCTGCTAGTAGTTATGTATTTGCTGATACCAATGCTAAACACTGTATAGCTAGAAAGCAGTCTTTTAGTGGAGTTTATTCAACAATACTGTATAATCTATTACTTTAGATAAAATACTTTAAAGTTACTACAAAGCAGTTACACTAAGTTTTTTTAATGCAACAACCAACCTCATGACGATAGTCGATAACATATTGGCTACTAAGTACCCTAACTAGCAACCATGTCTTGTTCAACATACAAAACTTGAGTCTCAAGCCATTTAATATTCCTTATTCTTCCCAAGTGACATACAGTATCAACAAAGCAAAGCACAAAAGGAAAATCCACAGTTATATCAGTACATATTTTAGTTTTTTAAAAAGCTGTAAGTACAATAAAAATACAAGGAAGATGACAGGACAAATTTTCTTTGTTAATACTCATGTTTACCTAATATAGGTTGCTCGTTATATTGGTGCTGTTCTGTTGCTATAGTTAAAGTTGTGTCAATACTTCAATTATAAACCTCTGTTTGGAAGGCTTTATACCACCCACTTTATACAGGCCATTTAAATTAGATGGCCTTATTTTTCTTGAGAGGCTTACTGGCTTTGGATGCTTTTTTGCACTTGGTATTTTTTTTAATAATTTCTCTCGTTAAGTAATACAAAAGGTACTTTGCAAGCAGTTATTTCAAAATTGAAATATATACTGGTAAAGAAAAGCAGGACAAAATTTATTCTGCATTTTCTACATATAATATAATATTGAAGGTAACTGTTTATCATGCATATTGCAGCATGCATCTGAAAGGAGCTAATTTGAGCTCTCTAATATGTTCAGTATTTCATTCTTTTCAATAATACATCTTGAAAAACAGACTTGAAGAATCCCTCCTTAGCCTCAGGTAAACACATTTCTTTAAAGGGTAGGAAATACTTACACATGGGATTCAAACATGCATTTTAATATACGTGTTCAATTACTAACGAAACCACAAGTATTTCGGTCATGTTCATCACGTTAATACAAATTTATGAGCAGCATTCTAGTTTTCTAATCTTGTTAATTCTTCTGTATGACAGTTACAAATGCATCAGAGTAATTTAAAAACAAAGACTAGTCCTCTAAAAATACCCAATTTCAAATGTAGTTTAGAATTAGGAAAACAGGCTGGCTGTGCTGTCATATAGGAGTTCACCGTTCAAAAGCTCAAGCTTGGTCCAATTTTTTTTTTTTCCTCTAAGAAAACAACCAAACCACAGCATCATTCTATACTGTCAATAGGTGAGACGTTTAACCACGTGAATAGGGAAATACGTTGTTTCTCCTTCGTCAAATAAATGGTTTCTATAAAGACTTTTGTGGGGAAATAATTGTGTTAGGCTGTGGTATCCACTAGCAAAATTGGAAGGAAATCAAGATCCTGTAGGACTTACTCTCTACAACAACAATCAAATGCAAAAGTTAGAGTATGGAAAAGAAGCAGAGAGAGAAAGGAATTTAGTTTGAAATTAAAAGGATTAATTAAATGTTTTAATTAATTAAAGTTTTCATCCCTCTAATTCACCACAGTTTGAAGGTACCCACTTACTTTGAATAATTACTATATTAAGATGAATTTGTCTCGGAAGAAGTAACACACACATTAATGACATCCTAAGAAACGTGGCACAGTGGGAAAGGGAGGACGTGAAGTACGAAAAAAATCAGTCTGCAGTTGGGTAACGTTTAAAGCTGACACACAAACCAGAACTGTAATAACGCCCTTAAGAGACATGCTCGTCTTCTTGAGAAACAGTTAAAAGCTTACTTAAAATCTTTGCAATCGGCATCCATTCCATTTGGCAAACCTCTGCCATTTATTTTAGTAACATCCTCATCATCTCCTTGTTTAAGATCTCTGTTTTTGTCCTCCTCAAACGGAGAAGCCTTGCCTTTCTGATCTCCTTTCTCAGGTCCATCTGTTTCAGCATCTCTAGTGCCCTGAGGAAAAAGAATCTGTTTGATTCTGAATATTGAACAGAACACAATAGGAGCACCACAAGGTGACCTAATTCTACACTATAGTGCACGTAAACAACACAAACAGTTTGTTTTCAATGAAATTGCATTTGGTGGGTAACTTGGTCATCAAGTTTCAACCACATGCAATTAATAGCTGCCAAAATGTGAAAAGGAATGCCAAGATTTATAATGGAAGAGCAAACTCAACCTTAACTATAGCGGTGCTGTTAAAGCAGTAACACTTTGAATTAGATAAAGTTTATTTCATACAGCTAAAACATCTAGTACAAAACAAATCCATATGGAAACACAGAATAGGAAAATCTAGAATAAAGCCCATCTCACATTTTAAATTAAGCTATTTGCAATCTTTTTCTTTTTCCTAGCTTTATTTAAAGGTGCTAGAAAAGCACTTTAAGACAGCTATTCAGTCAAGATTCCCAAACCACTTCCCTCTTCTGCCCCCTCCAACCAAAAAATACACATCGATAACAACTACACACTTCCTTTTAAACAGAAGGTTTAAAATAGGAAAACTGACAAATAGAGTAGAAAATATCTAACCATATAAGGCAGTCAGACCATAGTAGGTAACTAGGCAAGCTTAACACACTGCATTACTTACAAAAGCTCCTTTCCTAAACCGGGAATCCAATTTATCAGCTGGAGAGGAACTTAACACATATTCTACCATGCTCACTCCAAGGCCACCACTTTCTGATCGTGGAGACAACACAGCATTTACTTCACTGTTTCCATGAAAACCCTGTCCAGGCTTTCTCTGTACCATAATAGGTTGGGACATAGAATGGTCTGTTAAAAAAAAAAACAAAAAGAAACTATTGGGTTTTTTAACATACAACTTGTAGTGATTTTGCATTTCATTACAGAGGCAATATTAAACAAGATCAAAATTAAATTAAATAAAAAATTCCAAATCCCAGTTTCAAGAAGTGTTATTGGCACACGATCACCAGTGCAGTATATATTTTCACAATTAAAAGAAAATCAAATTTAATACACAATTCAAACTTACAATATTAATTTGCTTTGAAACAACATTTAGTAAACATGACTGATATTTCAACACATATGCCTCGATCACTTACGAGGAGTTCCCCATGCAGTCTCTCTCCACTCATCACCAAGGAATATCCCTTTTTGTCCATCTTTTGCTGAATCATCAGGTTCCCAAAACTTTTTGGCAGGTAAAAGCTGTTCCAAAAGAGAAAATGGTTTTATTTCAAATATACTTATAAATGGACAAAAATAATAATACTATTACGAGGATATGCAAGTAATTAATTTTAGATATCAAAGTCAGCTTTACATAGGAAACATATATTGTCACGGAATTATAAACACTTAAAAGTTATGTTGTTATTGAAGCTGTATAAAGAAACCACTCAAGTGACCCCAAGACAGATTCTGAAGTTATGAGGAAGAGATACAGAATGTAGAAGCAGCTGTCAAAGAAGCTAATCAAATTAATCCCTGTGTTAAACCATGTCAATCCTCTCAGAAACTTTTAACTAACACTGCCTTCTTTCCTTGTTGACTCAAAAATTTGGCCTTTAACTAACACTATCATGACAACCAAAACCAGCAGCAGTTCATTGCGAAGTTCTGTTCACTTAAAAACGCATCATGTTCCGAATTTTAGGAAGCAACTAACACATGGCGGCAAGTCAGCTCCTTGAGACCATAGGGATCTGCTGGTTACAAATCTGTGACATTAAACCTTGAGATTCCACATACCAACCATTTCACCTAGTTGTATGATTTTTTTTTTCATTACTACTTCTAAACCAGAAAGTTTTGAGTTAGATCACTATCACTTCTTGTACTGTTCAAGGACAGAAGACTTAGTGCAACATGACTGAAGCACTGCACAAATAAAAATACCTCAAATGTCAACATTCTTTTTACTGTTATTTTACTAGTTTTACTCTATTCATCTAACTTTTCCCACTGGTAGCAGTACAACTGCCAAACTCCACATATTATATTTTCTCTTGAACATGTAACTGAAAAAATGCATACTCAGACCATATATTACATACTTTTACAAGGTCTATGAACTGAAACTACAATGAGAACAACTTGCAAAAAAAAAGTAAGGAAGAGCTCTGAAGACAGCATTGTAATCCATCAAATTTTGCAAAATGTAATGTTCAATTTAAAATTTTGTTAATTTAGAAAACAACAAATGAAATCTGACAATGCTTTGCAATAAACAAGTATGTTCTGGAGCTTTGATTCTCCTATTACTTAAGTGACTAAAACCCCTTTCTAAACATCACAGCTGCCTCGTGGTTTCATCAAGGCTCATACTACCAGCAGTATTTTTTCTAGGTATTTCTTACTGTAACATTGAAAGAGCTGGTGAAAACAGCTTAAAGAAGAGGATAAGATTGTCATTAACAGGCCACAAGACACTGAAACAGAGGTGACGAGAGCTCCTTTGGAGTAACTCAAGGATTGCCGATTGCTGGTTTTCTGTGCTGCCCAGACATATACCAAAACCAAAGAGTTTTGACTAGCTAACTCACTGAAATCCTTGGGTCCCTTACATAAATTCATGAACACAGAAGGACTCAGGGTGGAGGATGATCAACAACCAAAGCTACACAAAACTCTAAGAGAGTATTATGCTTGCAAGAGCATTACACTGTCAGAACCTGCCCTGACAGAGATGCTCACTTTCTCAATGCATGGGATAATCACCACCAGATATCTACCAAATATACTTTGGGAGTACTAGGGTATTAAGTTCACCCCAAATTTAAGGGATAAAAGTAGCCAGCAGAGATTAATTCTAGATCAATGGAATCTTACAACTGCAGTTCAACTAAAAGCAAGAGATTTCAGATCAGCCTATGCAATCTACTCATCTTTTTTAGCTTTCAAGTTTGCAATACTACTGATTTTTCATTTTGTAGGATAGTGGTACAACAGAAAGCAAGCATTTCATGGTATCTATGGAACCTTGGTTTTGAGAGAGAAAGTCACGCTTTATTTCAAATGCAGTCTAAGACAAGTTCAAATGTGTCCAGCTGAGACAAGAGCGATGACAAACATGAAAGCAAAGGTATCCCAACCTAACACAAACTTGTCAGAATAAACAGATCAAGTACTGTCTTTGGTGTCATAAAATAAGCAGCTCCTTAAAGTATGCTTACCCTCAAACTAATAAATTCCACTATCAGACAGGTGTTCAGACAATGTAATGTTCAGAACAATATGCACATCTAGAGCAGAACACACTGCAATACTGTTTTTGATTTCAAAACTCATTTGCAGGATTTCTACCAGAGAAAAAAACCTGTCCGCTGGTAGAAAGTGGCAATAATCATCACTGCAAAAGTACAGGTTGTTTTGCAATGATTTTGTTTATGGTATTTTTCTGTTGTTTGGGTGGTGGGTTTTTTTTAGGTTTGCTTTGGTTTGCTGTTTTTCATGTTTGTTTGTGGAGTTTTTTTTAACTACATACTCTAAAATTCCAAACAGATATATTCAACTGTTTGTAGTCTTCATGTACTCTGGTACACAAAGAACACAGAATATCTTCAACACAAAACATAATGCATCATCTATACCTCAAGAGGCTACATTTAAACTGTATCCTACTGACGATCAGATTTACAGAAAAAAAACTCTACACAACAAAGAAGTCCCTCAAATATTTAAATAAATTAAATTTTTTAAAGTTTAGAATTTTGCACCTCCCTGAGGGTCAGTGATTTAGATTTATTGCTTACTTATTTTTGCCAGATGATGGATATGACATACACTGTGCTCTTTTTAAAGGTATCTTTTAGCTATTGGATTGCCACAGAAATGAGCAGTCGTAGCACCTGTCAACTATTTCATTGCAGAACTCAAAAAGAGAGTACTTTTCAGAAAAACAAAACAACTGTGTTCCTCTAACAGACAAGGAAAAAAACCTTGATTGATTAGTTCTACTGAAAAAGACTTATCAAGAAGCCATCACAAATTAATACCAGTAGCTAAAATCATCATGCTTTACTTTTTGATGATATTCATTTTGCTCAATATTTCCTGCATTTAATCCAATAAAAAAAGAAACTTTACAAAGATACATTTAATGCTAATTCAAAATAATGGAAAAGATTGCCGTATTTCTCACTAAGCTCTTCCATCAGTACGCTAAGTATCTTTTTCAGTATCAGCACTGATCCCTGTTATGTCTCTGCCAGATTAAGTCCTTTTCTACACATAGATAATAATCAGTTATGCTAAAGCTGCCTCTTAACTAGCTCTCTGATAAGTACAGTCCTGATTACTGGCTCTTGAATTAAGGATTTTTTTACTATATTTTTAAGACTAGAAATTATTCCTACAGAGTCTTCTACAATTTCTCCCAATTAAGTTTTGACACCAGAAATGGATACATTTTCCCTAAAAAGGAATTTGTGTATGCTCTGACTCTGTAAGTTTCTATAAGAATAGGCATCATCCAAAAAAGACTGAGTTTTATATTCTGTTTGGCAATTAGTTTTATGTATGCCTGTATTAGGTCACACTAAAGGTCCTGAAGCCCACTATGCTGGCCTTGAAATAGCAAACAACAGATGCCTAGAGAAGAGAAGAGAAATAGCACGACGTGTCAGCATTTCTTCTAAATGTTATCGTGACCTTAAAGGTCATGATAGCTTTTGGGAGCTGAAGTCAGGAGCATCATCTGTGTTCAACCAATCTAACAGCTAAAATTTTAGGAGACATTTAGAGAAAGATGCCTGCATTACAGCAGATCTCTTGCTAATAAAACTTTAGTATGTTTCCGTACAGAATAAATTAGCAAAGAATTTTGCAAGACAGAAGCAAATCAAGGAAACCGTACATCTGGCTCGCATTATGCTGCCCTATTCCTGATACTGATCGATAACAGGTTCCATCTGAATGCAGCTCTGATGATATCTTAACAGAAGGATTGCCGGTACGTACTATTTCCAAAATACGTTATGGTTCAATGAAAACAGATTTCATACTATATTCCTGTACATTAGCACATGGAAGAGATACTTGCTTTAGGATTCACAGTCTTGATTTCAGTAATCATGTGAAAAGTAAGACTTCACAGCCTCCTACTGTCAAGTATTGATTTTCAGTTGGGTAGAAAAAAAAAGACCAGGAAGGATTAGAGTTATGAACAGGAAATTAATTTCAGTTCAGAGAAAAATCTATCCAGACAGAGAAAACGAGGAAGAGAACAACTTCCCAATACCCAGAAGACCACTTGACATGACCTCCCTTTCACACCTTCCAAAGTAGACAGAGGGCAGCACGTAAGAACGTGCAGCTACCAGTTCTAGCTTAAAAGGTTATTCATTAATACATTTCTTTTAATATCATGGAAAGTTATAATCAAAAAGAAGGTTAAAATGGCCATGGAATCAAGGGCAACAAGAAAAACTTCTATAGATATGTCAGTGATAAAAAGGGATCTAGGGAAAACGTAGGCCCTCTCCAGAAGGAAATGGGGCACCTGGCTACCCAGGATATGGAGAAGGCTGAGGTTCTCAATGACTTCTTTGCCTCAGTCTTCACTGGCAAGAGCTCCAGCTGCACAGTCCAAGTCACAGAAGGCAAAGGCAGGGACTGGGAGAATGAAGAACTGACCACTGTAGGAGAAGATCAGGTTCGAGACCATCTAAAGAACCTGAAGGTGGACAAGTCCATGGGACCTGATGAGGTGCATCCGTGGGTCCTGAGGAAACTGGCAGATGAAGTTGCTAAGCTGTTATCCATCATATTTGAAGACGTCATGGCAGTCTGATAAAGTTCCCACTGACTGGAAAAGGGAAAATACAGCCCCCATATTTAAAAAGGGGAAAAAGAAGAAAACCAGGGAACTACAGGCCAGTCAGTCTCATCTCTGTGCCCAGCAAGATCATGGAGCAGATCCTCCTGGCGACTCTGCTAAGACACACGGAAAACAAGGAGGTGATTGGTGACAATCAACATGGCTTCACTAAGGGCAAATCCTGCCTGACTAATTTGGTGGCCTTCTATGATGAGGTTACAGCATTGATGGATAGGGGAAGAGCAACTGACTTTGTCTGTCTGGACTTGTGATACTGTCCCACATGACATCCTTATCTCTAAACTGGAAAGACGTGGTTTTGATGGATGGACCACTCGGTGGATAAGGAATTGGCTGTATGGTCGCTCTCAAAGAGTTGTGGTCAACGGTTCAATGTCCACGTGGAGGCCAGTGACGAGTGGTGTTCCTCAGGGGTCAGTAACATCTTTGTCAGCAACATAGACAGTGGGATCGAGTGCACCCTCAGCAAGTTTGCTGATGACACCAAGCTGTGTGGTGTGGTCGACATGCTGGAGAGAAGGGGTGCCATCCAGAGGGACCTTGACAGGCTGGAGAGGTGGGCCTGTGAGAACCTAATGAAGTTCAACAAGGCCAAGTGCAAGGTCCTGCATGTGGGTCGGGGCAATCTCAAGCACAAATACAGACTGGGCGGAGAATGGATTGAGAGCAGCACAGAGGAAACAGACTTGGGAGTGCTGATGGATGAGAAGCTCAACATGAGTCGGCAATGTGCGCTTGCAGTCCAGAAAACCAACCGTATCCTGGGCTGCATCAAAAGGAGCGTGGCCAGCAGGTCGAGGGAGGGGATTCTGCAACCCAAACCATTCTATGATTTTTTTTCCCCCCTCAGAAGTACATTGACCTAAAAAAAAAAACCAAACTGAAGTCCTTCTTCCCTCTAGTTGAATTACACAATAGCATTCTTCACCCTGACAAAAATCGTCTTTTAAGGAGTAATTACCAGTAAAAAAAAAAAAAAAAAAAAAAAAGAAAAAAAAAAAAAAAACCACAACAAACAAACCCAAAAAACAGTAAATTACCACACATTTCTGCTAGGCTATGTCAGTTTCGCTTTTTCTGGAGCCAAATCTTTTTCAGCTTCCAGTCTCCTTGGCTCCTCAGATGTAGTCAAGAATTCTTTCACTAGCTTACACACAGTGACACTGAAAACATGCTTCATCTTATAGAACTGCAGAAACATTCAAACTACCCTGTCAGTTCCCCAAGAGTATCAGCCATCTAGTAAGACTCACACAGTAACACAGTAGATCCAGTCTACAACCATCCCAGTGTTCCTGCAAAGTATTTAGTTATCTTCACCTTAGAAAAGAAACCTTCAGTTGCCTGAATAATCAATTTAGTCTTAAGAGAAGCTCTTTGCTTCATGTCGTATTATTTAAGACTTCGTTAATTTTATGAACATTTCCAAACCACCAACTGGATTTTCAGCCCTCAATAATTACCTCTCCCATTCCCCGAGATTCTAGGGCAAGAGCTTGAAACTCATGATTCATCTCATCCACAGATCGAACCTGTATGGGGAAAAACAAAAGAACGATCCATTAGTCAAATATATTTTCAAAAGCTGATTTTGTAACACTCTACGAGATTTTCGACAGTTGAAAGCACACACAAAATTTGCTTCTCAATCTAGGCTGAACATGAGTTTAGATTTCTTGAACAGATACAGTTAGTGACCAATTAATTTAATGAACCATGCTAATACAGTAACATGGAAGAAATTCTGAGATACTTAAAAATTTTAATCTTCATCTATCAGATGGCTATCACTTACTATGGAAACAATGACCAATATTACATTTGCAGCAAATGCAAAAAAAGGTGAAATTGAAGTCTTGGACATACAATATCCTTTGGAAAGGAAACAAGCTGTTGTACACAGTATTACTGAGTATACTTAGCAGCAAACAAAGAAAAGCTCAAGACAGGTCTCAAAAGCTACTAGCAAAGCATTGCTTCCAAAATCTAGTAAGTGACTGCATTATCACAATTTCTCACGCCTTATTCCAGGAAATAGAACTCCTCCTTCTCTGTACGCTGGCTTTTTTTGTTTGCAGCAAATAGGAAAGGTATAGTACTAAAGCAAGAGTTGCTGCTGCAACAAACCATCTCCTTTTCCATGGCATGCAGATCCAATGCACTGGGTGCATTCTCTCCTGAGAAAATGATTGCCACAAGGAATTTTCAAAGCCACAACAAGCTTAGAAAAACAAATTAAAAAGGGAAATTTAGAGTTGTTTCTCCCCTTCTTTCTCAACAATGAGATGCAGCAGGGTAAAATGGTAAAGGTATTCAAGTTCAAAGTAAAATTAAAGTTTCCCCTCCCAATACCAGTGTCTCCTTAGGAGTTAATTTCACCAAGTTAACTCATCCGTTTACATTAACAAAAAAAAAAAAAACAAAATGAAGTTACTCCATACAGCTGACAACACATTAAAGAGCACTTTTAAAAAAATACTCAAATACAGGCGAAGAAACAATCTTGTGCTTTTAAAATTCTGGCACAAAAAACTTTTCTAATTCTTTCTTAGCATTGGAAAAATGTTAATTTTCTGTCAAGAGATGTTCTATTGTCAAAATTCTACTCTCAAAATATTGTTATTGCCCCATAATCATTATAAAGCCAGTAACTTTATCAGTAAACTAGATTTGAAGGGTGAGGGAGGATAATATCCGGCTTAATCAAGACAAGCTGAGAGCACCTGCAGAGCAGCAGAAAGAAATTCCAGACGCTCCAGTCAGTAAGGCGGCTTCATTGGGGAACCAACTTAAATGCCTCCATGCAAACGCACACAGCACGGGGAATGAACAAGAGGAGTTAGAGGTGTGTGCACACCTGCAGGGCTATGATCTTATTGGCAATATAGAGACATGGTGGGATGAATCCTATGACTGGAGGGTCAGAATGGAAGGGTACAGGCTCTTTAAGAAGGTCAGGCAGGGAAGATGAGGAGGAGTTGTCACCCTCTATGTCAAGGACCAGCTGGAGTGCACGGAGCTCTGTCTGAGGATGGATGAGGAGCCAACTGAGAGCTTATGGGTCAGCATTCAAGGGAGGGCAGGAACAGGGGACATTATAGTGGGGGTCTGCTACAGGACAACTGACCAGGACAGCCAAGCAAATGAGGCCCTCTACAGTCAAAAAGGATCAGCGTAACACTGACAAGCCCTGGTCCTCATAGGGGACAACCACCACCCCAGCATCTGTTGGAGAGGAAACACAGTGGGGAATAAGCAATCCAGGAGGTTCCTGGAATGCATTGATGATAACTTCCTTCTCCAAGTGATACATGAAACAACAAGAAGTGCGATGCTGGACCCTGCTCTCACCAACAAGGAGGGGCAGGTGGAGAATGTGACGCTCAAGGACAGCCTTGGCTGCAGTGATCATGAAACGGTGGAATTCAAGATCCTTAGGGCAGCAAGGAGGGCACACAGCAAGCTCACTACCCTGGATTACAGGAGAGCAGAGCTCAGCCTCTTTAGGGATCTGCTTGGTAGAGTACAATGGGATAAGGCCCGGGCAGGAAGAGGGGCCCAAGAAAGCTGCTTAATATTCAAAGATCACCTCCTCCAAGCTCAGGAGTGGTGCAACTCAACAAAGAAGTCAGGCAGGAACACCAGGAGCATGCTAATATACAATAAATTGAGTGCAAGCAAGGACAGGTAGTCTGGGAGGAATACAGAGAAATCGTCTGGGCAACCAGAGAACAGGTTAGGAAAGGTAGAGCCCCGATAGAGTTAAATCTGGCCAGGGACATCAAGGGCAACAAGAAAAACTTGTATAGGCATGTCAGTCATAAAAAGAGAACTACAGAAAACATGGGCCATCTCCAGAAGGAAATGGGAGACGTGGTTACCCCAGGACATGGAGAAGGCTGAGGTACTCAATGACTTCTTTGCCTCAGTCTTCACTGGCAACTGCTCTAGCCATGCTGCCCAAGTTGCAGAAGGCAAACACAGGGACTGGGAGAATGAAGAACCACCCATTGTAGGAGAGGATCAGGTTCAAGACCATTTAAGGAACCTGAAGGTGCACAAGTCCATAGGACCTGATAAGATGCATCCACGAGTCCGAAGGCAACTGGCAGATGAAGTTGCTGTTATTCATCACATCTGATAAGTTGTGGCAGTCCAGTGAAGTTCCAACCAACTGGAAAGGGTGAAACATAGCCTCCATTTTTAAAAAGGGAAAAAAAGACAACCTGGGGAACTACAGGCCAGTCAGTCACACTTGTGCATCCAGCAAGATCATGGAGCAGATCCTCCTGGCAACTGTGCTAAGCTATATGGAAAATAAGGAGGTGATTGGTGACAACCAACATGGCTTCACTAAGGGCTAATCATGACAAATCAGACATCCTTGTCTCTAAATTGGACAGACATGGATTTGACGGATGGATCACTGGGTGGATAAGGAATTGGCTGGATGGTCACGCTCAAAGAGTTGTGGTCAACAGCTCAGTGTCCAAGTGGAGACCAACGATGAGTGGTGTTCCTCAGGGGTGAGTACTGGGCCCGGTGCTGTTTGACATCTTTGTTGGTGACATGGACAGTGGGATCAAGTGCACCCTCAGCAAGTTTGCAGATGACACCAAGCTGTGTGGTGTGGTCGACATGCTGGAGAGAAGGGATGCCATCCAGAGGGACCTTGACAGGCTGGAGAGGTGGGCCTGTGAGAACCTAATGAAGTTCAACAAGGCCAAGTGCAAGGTCCTGCATGTGGGTCAGGGCAATCCCAAGCACAAATACAGGCTGGGCGGAAAATGGATTGAGAGCAGCACAGAGGAAACGGACTTGGGAGTGCTGGTGGATGAGAAGCTCAACATGAGGCGGCAATGTGCGCTTGCAGCCCAGAAAGCCAACCATATCCTGGGCTGCATCAAAAGAAGCGTGGCCAGCAGGTCGAGGGAGGTGATTCTGCCCCTCTACTCTGCTCTCATGAGACTCCACCTGGAATACTGCATTCAGCTCTGGAGTCCCCAACACAAGAAGGACATGGAGCTGCTGGAGTGGGTCCAGAGGAGGGCCACAAAGACGATCCAAGGGCTGGAGCACCTCTGCTATGAAGACAGGCTGAGAGAGTTGGGGTTGCTCAGCCTGGAGAAGAGAAGGTGCCAGGGAGACCTTATTGCAGCCTTCCAGTACCTGAAGCGGACCTACAAGAAAGCTGGAGAGGGGCTTTGTAAAAAGGTATACAGTGATAGGACAAGGGGCAATGGATTTAAACTGAAAGAGGGTAGATGTAGATTAGGTCTAAGGAATAAATTCTTCACTCAGAGGGTGGTGAGGCACTGGAACAGGTTACCCAGAGAAGTTGTGGATGCCCCATCCCTGGAAGTGTTCAAGACCAGGCTGGATGAGGCTTTGAGCAATCTGGTCTAGTGGAAGGGTTTCCCGGCCCTTGCGCAGGGGAGCTGGAACCAGATGATCTTTAAAGTCCCTTCCAACCCTAACCATTTTAACTTCTGAGGCTGAGTGTCTCTGCACTTTTGAGGAAGAAATTTCATAGCTCAAAAAAAATATTTCCTTAGAAAGAACAATATTTTAGCTAAGATGGATTCTGAAACCAATTCCCAACAATTTCAGAGATCTACTGAAGAGTAAATTTATTGACGTTGAATTTTGGGGGATGCGGGGGTGAAAAAAAATAATAAATCAGCATCTTGTCCTTTTTGCAGCAGGGCTGACATTTAAGTCCATTAGGTTGATTTTATCTTTTTAAAAACTGAAAACAGATTTTTGTGTATCCTTAAAAAAGCTAAAGACAGTTTTTCAAATGAATTAAAAAATAGATTATTTATAATTTGTGTTAAAGAAGCTTTTTTTTTATTAGCTCCAAGGTATAATCAAATCTTTGTGCATGTATTTAGAAAAAATAGCTACAGAAGAAGAAGTATTTATAAAGAAAAATCAGAAATTCAAATTTTGGAGACTTCTGAATTTGGATATTGAAGTTTCTGAAACAGAATTTTATTGTACAGATGGCTAAGTTTATTATACACCATAAGCCACTCCCCGTGCTCAAGTCATGCACTTCAGTTTCAATTATACTAAAATAGTAAATTAGATACTGTTTGACCAAAATCACCTTTTGAGATAGCAGTATCTTTAAAAAAAAATTTGTAGCTAATGCTTGTGAAGTTTTATTTACCATAAACACTACCCAAATTATTGTTAAATAAAAAGAACAAACAACCTGGAAAGATGTTTAAATTTTTCGGCTGTGTTTTTGTTTGTTTGTCTTTTTAATTGGTGGTGGTTTTGGTGTTTGGTTGGTTTGTTGTTGTTTGTGGGTTTTTTTTGTGCTGCAAGACCTAATACTAGATGCTTATTTTGCAAAATTAATAAACATGGCCACATGCACTTCCAAGTCTCTAAGAAAAGACAATCTAAGAATCAGAGTAATAGCACAGCTAACTCCTTTTTTTCTTCCCTGAGCAGTTTAGAGTCAACTCTAAGATTAAACTGGTTTTCTGAAATTGTAAATAAACTTTAGTACACT